GGGCTGGAGTCAGCAGGGGATGGGACCAGGCAGGGCAGCAATCTGGGAGGCTGGGGCAGCAAGTGGGAGTGGGGCATGTGGGCCCTGCAGGGGGGGTGGTAGCCCCTGTGGGGGCTATTTTGCCCCTGTTGGGGGAGTTGCAACCCCTGTGGGGGCGGGGGCTGTGGCCCCTGTGAGTGGGGGCTGTACACCCTGCGGGGTCAGCAAAACATATAGGTATTTAGAATTCATTTTATTATGAGGATGGAGACACTGCTAGGCTTCCAAATTGTTTTAAGACCGTAGATATATCAATAAAACATTGCCCAACTGATCACTGTCTCACACTGTCTCACTCTCTCTTTCTATATGTATATAGTGTTCTTTTGTTTTAATTGTGGAGGAACATGGATTTTGGTGTATTTTACAGAATGACTTTGGCGTTTTTTTATTAGGGATTTTTCAGTTTTCAAATAGGGAACACCAGAATTCCTGCTAGGGAGGCTAGTGGCAGGACCCTGCCTGCTCAGAGCTGGTACCTTGGACACAGCTGGGGATGGCTGACCTCCTGGCCAATTGGTTGACCTCCTGGCCAACTGGTTCAAAGCAGGCCACCACACTGGGAACATCTTCTGGGCAACAGCTGCCCAGATGGCCAGGCAGGGGCACACATGGCAGTATTGCCACACAAAAGCCAACCCTTCAGCCACAGCCCACTGGCAGCTGGCCCAGAGGGGCAGATGCCTCTACTGGCTGTACAGTCCCCATTCATTTCTGGAAGGTGCACAGCAGGTCACAGCCAGGCAGCAGCCCCCACTGCCAGACTGATGCAGGGGGTAAAGGGTGCAGGGAACTCTCAGGGATGCTTCAGCAGTCCACCTGGCACCAGGGGTAGTGTCCCCAGCTACCAATTGATTGGGCCCCAGAAGCTCCTGAGAGTGAGTAGCCCTGAGGTAGTTGCCAAGGCAGCTTTTTGTATAGATAGGGCCAGGACAGGGCAGCTTTTTATACTGCTCGGGACAGCACAAGTGCTAGGCCTGGGCTCTAGCTACCCCTGGCTGGAGTTCCAGGAGGAGCCAGGCAGGGTTATTTTGCCCCAAGTGGCACAATTTGCTTCATAACAAAGTGCATGTCCAGGCTCAAATTTGCACTGCTTCTATTTGAGCTGTTGTGAGTGCACGTGCCGGCATGTGTGGACGTGCCATGTGACTTCATCCCTGCATGCCCGAGCAATACTCTTATACTCCTCCCTAGTTGTTTGTCCAAGTTTCCACTTCTTATAAGCTTCCTTTTTGTGATTATTTTACTGAAAAGTTTACTTCTAAGCCAAACTGTTCTTC